GGGCGCAGTGCTGGGGATTGAACCCAGGACCTTGTACATTCGAGGAAAGCACTTTACCAACTGAACTATCTCCCCTCATTCCTGATTCTTAATGGGAGTCAGTGCTAAAAAAGGTTTGCTAGACTGAAACTTGCATGCAATTTTTCCATTTACTCCTGATTCATGGGGGAGAGATTCTGAAATGCCTTTTGGGGCACATTACTTACATGTTCATTGCTTCAGTTTACTCATTTGTAAAATGAGAAAATCTATAAACAATATCATAGTTAATTCATTTTCATGAAGTCTTTTATGATTCTCCCATATAGGTAATAGAAAATGATACAAAGGCAAGTATGTTACTGTGGAGTAGGTAGAAATCACTACTGCGGAAGGGTCAAGGGAACAGAAAAGGTTGTTGGCACCTTTTATGAAGCTTCCCTAGATGCTTTCAATGTAAGGGTCTTAAAATACATGTAAAGCAAAATCTGTTTTCTCTCTGATCATAGTATTTACTTGCCTATTTTTCTAGTTCCTAGCACCAGGGAAAATGGAACTTTATTATCTACCCTGTATAAAAATGATAGCATTTTCAAGGGAGAGCACTGTGGGTCTGCTGGCTTTAGAAATAGCTCTGTGATAGAAATCAACAATTGACATTTTCCCCCCTTTACAGTAATGATAAGCGCGAGGCACTCCTGTGTTTGTTCCTACAAAGGGTTTTGTCTGTGCGCCATTGTTCCTCACAGTAGTACTGAAAATTACAAATGAGACAGACATGGAGGGAAAATGAGAACGAAAGGACAGGGAGACAAAGACCCTCGTTAACACAAGACAGTACTGTGGGACTGCAGTGTGTATGCCCTGGAAATTTCCTTTTCCTTACTTCCATTGACAGAACTCCAAAGTGACCAAATTCAAAAAATAAAAGTAAATAAGAAAAGCTATTGGTCTGAGAGCAACTCGTTCCTGCTGGTTTTGCTCGGTGAACATGAAGTTCATGAGGAATGAGTGGCTCTTCCATGAGCACGGGCATGAAATCAGGGCTTTCATCCCCACAGTGCTGAAGACTGGGCAGAGCAGCCTCTAGATTTTTCAGCACAGAGATGCTCCTCCCAAAGCTGGCCTGGCCACATTTGGCACTGCTGCCAGGATTCCTGTGCCAATCATATAAGAGCTGTGACTAGAAATGAGGACCTGTGTCCGGTGCTTGTGGGAGGCTCACAGTGGGGAAGACAGAGGTTCCTCTGACCTAAGCCCAGTAACAATCTGTGGAGGTGGAGGTCTTTGATCTTTTGACAGTTTAGCTTATTTGTATTAAGTAGGCCAAACACAGATAAGCTGGGGGGGGGGGGGGGGGGGGGGAATGGTAAAAGATCATACAAAATCCTACTGCCCTGGGAAGGGCATCTGTATCCTTATCTGCTGTGTGTGCATGCATGTGTATGTATCGATTGTATTGGCTGAACGTTTTCAATTACAAATACTTCAAGTTTTCCAGGCTTTTTATATACATAGTTACAATGACATTCTGATCACGGGGTCGTGACCACGTGCCTAACAGCCCTCTAAACTCAATCCCTGCTCTTCAGGGAATGCCCCGTCCTCAGCTGCAGATTCTGCAGCTCTCAGCACTTCACGTGTGAGCTTCACCATCTGGCACACCTGAGGTATCCCCAAGGTAGCAGACTCTTCATTCTGTTTCTATGACTCTGTTTTACAGGATTGTTGTGGAGAAGGGACAGTGATTGGGAGACCAGTGTCTGAGATTGGGGTCCCTGATGACTTCATGGCTGTGGCATGCTTGTGCCTGGGAAAGTTTCTGTGTAAAGGTGCAGGATGCCAGTTGCTATGGTAATGCCCTCCATGGGGAGGCTCAGCCTCACCTTGCTCTCATGCAGCAGCTCCTGGGAATGAAGGAATTCTCTTGCTGAGACAACCACAATGTTTCACCAGCTCTGCTGCTCCTGAACCTGCCGGCATAATAGTAACTTTAAACAATGGACTTTCTTGAGCTGCACAATGCTCCTAACACTGCCCAGTGCAACTGTAGAATGTAACTGAGGAAATAGCTGCATACTGTGGCTAACTCTGTAACTTTCATGAATACAAGGAATAATGCTTGCATAGTATTTAATCTGATCAATGAGCCATATATAATAAAGATTGCTGGTGTAGTTCCTTAGACCTGCTTCTCCATCATAGAGCAGCACTACACCTGATCCCAGCTATTTGACTTCAAGATCTGTGTGTGTGAGTCTTTATTCTTCCAATCTCCCATGGCCTCTCAGGAACCTTCCTGTTTGGCCAAGTTGGTTTTTTATTTATTTTATTTTTATTTTTTTGGTCATTGTTGTTCCAGAAAATAGGAACACTTTATACTTTTCCTGGTAATATGCTCTTTGTTACTTCCTAATTATGGCAGGCAACTTCTAACATGGCCCAAGAGTTGCCATCTCTGGTGTGCACACAACTTCTCCGATTTATTCAATCAAGTGCCAGTCCAGGGACTTTTGGGAAGACGCAGCAGAGATGAAGAGATTTGAAGATGTGATCTGATTCCCAAGTTAGTTGACCTTAAAATACGAAGATACTACAGGCTATCACCTAATAAGCATTCTTTTAAAGAGAGTGAACATTTTCCGACAGCAGAATGACTAAAGTGTGAGAGGAAGTCTCTGTTGCCAACCCTGACCAGGATGGGCCATGTGGTGAGGAATGTTGGTGGGTTTTAGTTGCTGGGACCAGGCCCCCAGCTGATGGCAGCAGGGAAATGGGCTGTACAGCCATATCTCAAGGGACACATGCTGCTACCACCACAACTACTGGGGAACTCCAGAAATGTCTGCCTGGCCATCAACTGGACTTCAGTTGTGTGAGGCTAGGGCAGAAGAGATGGCTGTGCCAACACCCAGTCTTCTGACCCGCAGATCTTTGAACTAATAGATGGATACTGTTTTAAGCACTGAAGTGGTGGTAATTTGTGACACAGAAATGAAAAACTAACATGGTAGTACATCATGAACACATTTTTACCTCCTAGTCCTACATCTACAGTACGATCTGAATCATTGCATAGCATCCCAATGTCTGCCTGCACCATAATTCACCAATGCCTTCTTATTGGACATCTTTGCTCTTTCCAAACTTTGGGCTATTTTCATCAACACCACAATTGATATTTTACAGCTAAGCGCATACATTCTTCAATTCCTGATGTGGAATTGCACATTTAAAATGTGGGCAAACATGGTTTTGGTACAAATGACAAATTGCACCTCACATAAAGTTGTACCACTTTATCTTTCCAGTGGCCATTTATGAACTCACCTGCTTTCCAAAACATTGCCAACACTGATTACTTTCAAGTCAGTGACAAAACATGTCTCCTCTTTTCACATGTTTAAATTACTGGTGTATTTTGATTTGGTTCCTTGAAGGGCATCTGTATCCTTATCTGTTATGTGTGCATGCATGTGTATGTATCGATTGTATTGTCTGGACATTTTCAATTACAAATCACAGAAGGTCACATTTGCTTAACTAA